GTATCCCCTCCGTCCCTGGGTGGTCCAATTGGCGTCTTGGCGCAGAATAAGGTTTTTTAGCCGCATATGAGCGTCACAGCTTTCCACTGCGCTTTTTATAAATAAATTTTCAGCCACTTACTATGCTACGACCACAGCGAAATACGCAAATTCCTCTGAGATACAGAGATAACTCACCTCCGTCAATACACAGAAACAACAACCAGTCAAAACGGTCAAAAATTGGCTCCAAAAGCGTTGATCGAAATAAAATCGATCAAGCCTTGGCAGTGATTGCCCCGACGCCAGAATGCGCAGATGAACCCTCGACATTCATTTCAACAGAACTCCCTCATTTTGAGGCCAATTACGTTCGAAATCGAGCAGGAGCTTCTCGATACACTAATCTATCTGAATTGGGCTTTTTTCAGCTCTTTTTTAGCGATTTCGTGGTGGAAATCCTCTCCGAAGAAACCAACAAATACGCCGCGTTCAAATTACAAAATCCTCCTTTCCTCGAGAAATGTCACTGGGTACCTACTACGCCGGCAGAAATACGTGTATTCATAGGGATAAATCTCCATTTTGGCTTGTACCATTTGACAGTACGAACGGATTATTGGAAACTACACAATCTAGGTCAATTTATGAGTCGAGATCGATTCGAACTCGTTCATTGCTTTTTCAGTACAAATAGTGCTCCTGCGCCTCCAAATGCACCCTGGTTTTATCGAATTCAACGCATAGCTGACCTCATTCGAACTGCTTGTCGAAATTCCTTCTATCCCTCCTCTCATATCGCTATTGACGAGGCTATGGTCGCCTTTGCAGGCCGTTCGAAGCATACAATCAAGCTAAAGAACAAGCCTATCGATACGGGCTACAAGCTATGGTGTATTGGCGATCATGGATATATTTGGAGCTGGTTATTTCACTCTAGAATAGATGGAGTTGAAACGCTTGAGAAGGGGATAAAAACGAGCTGGCCGCGCCTGCGCTCTGCAGGCGCTGAGCGCACCCTGTTGGCACCTACATTTGCGCTTGTTCTACGCTTGGCTGAACAGCTTCCAAAACAGCTCAAATTCTGCGTTTATTTAGATAATCTGTTTCTGAATGTGCCTGTTGCACAGTGCCTGTTGACCATGGGGGTCTATTGCATGGGTACAACGCGCAAAAAGGCCGACGGATTTCCTTTACATCTTCAGAGCTATTTCGAGCAAAATGAGCTACTATGGGACTCTACAATAGCAGAGGTTATCGATAATAACACTCTCTGCTTCGTTTGGCAAGATAATAAGGCCGTTAGCGCTATTTCGACTGCTCACAGCCTCCACAGGGTCAAGGATAAAGTTCAGCGTACGCGAAGATGCCCAAAAATAACGTCTGAAAATCAACGAATTCTACTGCCTGTTTTTGATGGTCAACCGTTCAAAAAGCTCTTCATTCCAACAGCTATTAATGAATATAACCACCATATGAAGGGCGTGGACCAAGCCAATCAATTACGCGCGAGTTTTACGTGCCATCGCAAGCAGAATTATCGAACGTGGTGGCCCTTGTTTTTCTTTCTTCTTGACGTTGCTCATACCAATGCGTATCTACTATGGAAATGGAGTAATAACGCGCAGAATCACGATACTTATAGGACCTTTATGAGCGCTCTGTGCAACCAATTACTACATTCGAATGATCCGAAAGAGGAGGAACAATCCCAGCCTTTACCCACGGTAGTCTCTCAACGCCACCATAAACACGTGCGAGAGAAAACTCACGGTCGGTGCGAATGGGGAAAGCTTCACAAGCCTGGCTGTGTACGCAAAAGGGCTCCCAAGCGCAAATTCGGAACAAATATCACAGAAACAGCTGTAAATGGCGCAAATGAGGCTATTTCTGGTGGGTCAAGGACCTATTTCAAATGCAGCAAGTGCCAAATTTGGCTCTGTATCGAAGGAAGCTGTTGGCAACAATATCACCACTCAATTGGAGTCAATTGCTAGATAGAATGGCCACAATTCGCCCAAAAGAGACGTTTGTTGATATTTTGTGCCCTTCGTAGTGATCGACAGCGCTAATTGGACCATTCTACACCCCTGTTCAGGGACGGAGGGGATAGAGGAGGAAATCGACTGAGGTAGTTGAGACTCAGTTATAGCAAATTTGGTTCGCTCATCCTGATCAAATCTGATACGCTCAGCGCTTTATAACAGGATGGACTCTTTTCGTTGATGGCACGTTTAATACAAATGCTCGTAATCTCGTTCTACTTGTTATGGCAGGTATAACCAACTGTAACAGGACCTTCGTTGCTGCCCTATTATTTACCTGTTCAGAATCCAAAATATTCTTCGATTTCATCTTCTGGAGCCTTAAACAGCGCGTTTTCTATTCTCCTATTTCTCCGTTACGTTTAGTACTTAGTGATCAAGCAGTTGGCATAACAGCGTTACTCCTTACAGCTCTTCCTAATGCAATTCTACAGTACTGCGACTGGCACGCTGTAGAGAACGTTATGAAGCGGCTAGCAGACAAGGGTTACAAAAAGGAGGCCTGTGAAGAGCTTAGAGATATTCTATAGCGTTTTGTCAAAAGCCATACGCAAGGGGAGCTTGCTACGCGTCGGATAGAGCTACATTCAAAGCTTAAGCAGAGCGAAATCAAGTACTTAGAGGAGTACTAGGGCCCTCGAGAGATACATTTTTTGCGTATCTACACTTGCACCTATCCCAACCTGGGCAGTCATTCAAATCAGCGCTCTGAAAGCATTCATCCTGTGACTACAAAGATCCTCAACAAGAATATAAGTATGGAGGAGGTAGCACGACGTCTAGGAGAGACTATCAAGGCAAAATTCCGAGAACTAAATGAGGAGGAGGCCTATAGGCAGTAAGTTACCTCGAACGCTAGATTTGCATGCATTTTCGTGGCTGGCAGATACAGTAACGTTTCAAGCTATTCAGCAGCTATCTGTTGAGTGGCAAGCTACGAAATTAGGATGTCAAGATGGCTCACTTCAAGCTATATCAGATATCTGCACTAGTTGCGAGATATTACTTTGATTTAGCCTTCCTTGCAAGCATTATCTTTGTCGAGTATGCCTTAATGGCTCACTAATTCCTCGCTCTTTTTTACACCCTCGTTGGT